GTGAAGTGAGTTATTTAACGACTTAATAAAAATGTTATTATACTAATGCCGGGTTCAGGGTTGCATAAAAAAATCAGTAAACGTTAAATGAATTGACAGTGAGTTAGTGGTTAACCAAACATAATTTAGTGGTCTATGATTGGTCCATTAAATATTAGGGAATGAACCGTTAAATATTCAAATTAATATATTCTTGTGCAGCTAGGTATAAATTGACTTATAAAAGAGTCTAAGTATGGAATAAAAACCGATATGCGAAAATATTCTTCAGGATTATTAGTTTGTACGTTTATTCTATGTACTTGTCTTTTATTAATTCTCGGAATTGTCATTGTCACATTGAACTTGTCAGCAATTTTTTTGGCAGCTAAAAAAATTTCTTCAAAATTTTTCTGAGCGTGTTTTCTATAATCTTCTAACTCGATCAAAGTATCTTGAGCTAAATCCATGGCCAATTTTAAATCAATATTAATGATTTATTTATGCCAGCTCCTGATTTAGCAAACGCTACACAAAACGTACAAAATTTACCATCTAATTTTGCAGAGTACGCTAACCATGGAAAGGTATGCAACCATCTGTATTGAAATTTTAAATTTTTGGATAGCTTATCTTTACCACTAAATATAACAGTATTAGGGAATTCAAAAGTAGGTTCGGGCTTCCAAATTTTTTTAAGAACTTCTTCTTTCTCTACATCTGTTAACGAGCGGTTAAAATAAAATCCAATATCGAAATTGTTAAAATTATGTTCATTTTCTGTTTCAGTATTGTCAGATTTTTTTGACATTTTGATACGTTTGACATTATTATCTATATTTGGTGAAATTGGTCGTTTATTTGGAGAAGTTACGGAAACTGAAGATTTGTGATGGTCAAATTGTAGAACATTTGTATCATTTGATTTTTTAAAAAATTGGCTTAACGAAGTTTGATGAGACATAATAAAAGCAATATATTGTGTACTTACTTAATATTGATCAAAATACAATAAACACTTGTTCACTGGTTCACACGTTACTTGTATAGTTGTTGAAGGCAAAATGAGACTAATAGAAAATGAGTAATATCTTATAAAAGCCACTAATTTATATTTTATTATACCTATCCATATATGGCTATTGGCTACACAAATATTGCTAATTGCTATACACACAAATCCATCCTTAATCGTTTTTCTGTGTGATAAAGTTTATATTTCAAAGATACGGGTACTTGATACCTATTAATTTTATCGGTTTATCGCACTTCGTATAAGGTCGTTACATAGAAAAACTGTCGTCAGAATAACATTACTATATATTTATAATACGTCTTATTACTTAAAACCATGCTATTATATTTTGTTCACGGGAAAAAACTATATCCGCGCGACCGAGCGTGCTTACATAAATCGGGTTCTGCAAATATGTAAGAATTTTAGTTTTTTTTTTTTTTTATGAGAGGTTCTGGGGGGGGTCCAGTACCCCTGGACCCCCCCGTAAATACGCCACTGTTGGTACTGATCTATCACTACGGATACACAGTTACATACCGTATACCAGTAGCGGGGAAACGGAAAAAAAGTCTTGGGGTAAAAAAAGTTTATAATACTAATGAAATATACAATTTGGAATATTTAAAATAAAACTTTCTACAGCTGTATGTCATACGAATAGAATTGAATACCTAGTGTATATGTTTCGTCTTTATTCATTTTAATGCAGAATAAAACAAGATCGTCTTACGAAAGTATGTTTTCTATAATAGGTACTGAACATTTGTAAAGATCGAGATTTATACCCCGACCGAACGTTTTTGAATATTGATTTTGAAATGGCTGTGATTAAAGCTGCAAAAAATATTTTAGAAGAACATATAAATATCCGTGGTTGTTTTTATCACCTTACACAAAGCACCCACCGAAAAATACCAGAGCTGGGTCTTGAAAATCGGTATCGCAATGATGACGAGTTCAATCTGTTCTGTTGTATGATAGACGGGTTAGCATTTCTCCCAATAGAGTTTGTTGAAGATGGTATGTTACACTTAAAAATCATTGTCCCAGTTGGAGCTGAAGATTTACTTTTATATTTCGACCATCGGACCATACATATTTAAATGGCAAATTTCGCTCATGTAGACCTTGTAAAAATAATATAGTAGTACAATATCGTCGCACCCCTCCACTATTTCCTCCTACAACTTGGAATGTTAATTTGACAACATATGATGTCTGACGGGCATAGAACCAATAATGTATGTGAAAGTTGGAACTCTCGATTTTCACATATGGTTGGACAAAATCATCCAACAATTTGGAAACTAATTACTAAAATAAGATATGAAATAGCTGCAGATCGCGCAAAATTAGCTTTAAATGAACTGGGTGAGCAATCAATAAAAAGGAAAAAAAAGAAAATGGAAATATGATTAAATGCTTTATGCACTCGTTTTAGAGAAAATAAAATTGAACTTAAAGATTTTACTTTTTTTCCGCCAGACTTTTTTCCTACCATCCCAGTAGTGATAGACAATAATTTAATTGTTACCACGTAACACTACTATCATCATACATTTTTTTTTTTAGCATTATAGACCATTTAGGTCCTTTGCTGCCAATACCAAATTCTTCCACTCTTCTCTATTATATGCATGCATTAGGTCTCCATGCCATTCTGGTTTTAACTCCTGGATATCTCTTTTGAGTTTTGACTACATCCAGCCATCGCTGCTTCGGTCTGCCGCGAGGTCTTTTCCTGTTCAAGTTGTTTACAAGTACCTTCTTGACGATACTGTTATCCGCTCTTCAAACGTGACCAGCCCACTCCAGTTTTGAGCCTATTATAAATTGTATTATATTTCCCTTTCTATATAATTGTTGTATTTGTTCGTTTGACCTTCTCTCCCACACTTGGGTATCAGGTTTATATACGGGACCATAGATTTTTCTTAACACCTTCCTTTCAAATATATTAAGTTTATTCTCATCTCCTGCTGTTGTAGCCCAAGTACAGCATGCATAGGTCACAACTGGTCTGAGGCACGTAGTATATAGCTTCTCTTTATCATCATACATTATCAATTAATAATACGAGTGATGATAAGCACTTTCCAAAAAGTGTCCGAGGGAAATTCCACATTATAATTTACAATATTTATCATTATTTACATTATTAATAATTTAAGACACTAATAACTAATAAGTATATAAGTCAATTGCCAATGGTTAATCTAGTCATAC